AGCATTCAGTTCCTGCTGTCGTCTCTAGACAGTCGACATCACCAACTGATACACCGAGGCCGAGACTCGACCTCTGCTGCTGAGGAAGTGCGTCTACCCCTATGAGTACATGGACGATTGGTCTAAGTTCGACGTGACGCGACTGCCTCCCATTGACCGCTTTTACAGCAACTTGACTGATTCCAATATCTCTCAGGACGATTACGCGCACGCGATTAACGTGTTGGACAAACTGGGGTGCAAGAATTTGGGCAATTACCATGACCTGTACTTGAAAACGGACGTGCTGCTGCTGGCCGACGTAATCGAGATATTCAGAAAAACGTGCTCGAAACAGTACGGCCTGGACCCTGTGTGGTATTTCTCATCCACCGTCTCTGCTGGGAGGTCTTGTTGAAAAAGACTGTCGTGGAGCTGAAACTACTGACGGATTACGACATGCACCTGTTCGTGGAAAAAGGCTTGCAAGGTGGGATTTCCATGGACTCAAACGATACGCCAAAGCCAACAACAAGTACGTTCCTGGTCACGACCCCGGCAAACCGACCAAACACATACTCTATCTCGACGCCAACAACCTGTACAGCTGGGCCATGAGTCAGTATCTCCCCACCGGGGGATTCGAATGGGTCTCCTCACCCGAGATGATTGACGTGAATAGCATCGCGCCGGATTCGAACACAGGCTACATGCTCGAAGTGGACTTGCACTATCCTGCAGAACTACACGAATCGCACAACAGCTATCGACAAGCTCCCGAACGATTGATGGTGAACCCGGACAGCATGTCCGAATATCAACGAAACTTGCTGGGAAACAACAAGCCAGCTAACGTCGAAAATCTCGTGCCAAACTTGATGAACAAGTCAAAATACGTCGTTCACTATTGCAATTTGCAGCTGTACTTGTCGCTGAGAGATTCAATCGCACCCTAGCCGAACGCCTGTTCTCGCACCAATACTAGCAGGATTTAATGGATCCCGGAAACAGAAACACGGAATGGGTTGTACGCTTACCGCGAGTGGTGGATGCCATCAACAAACGAGGTCACCAGACTCGTGGGCAAGAGACCCATCGAAGCCATCCAAATGAAATCTGTCGAATCGTCGTCGGCAGCAGCACGTCGCGATAAAACAGAGAAAACATTACCGGACCGGGTCAGCGTTAGGTACTTGTACCAGCCGGGAGAATACGAGGGAGACAGCAGAAAACGCGCCACCGATCTGATATGGTTCATGAAAACGTACAACGTAGACCTTGTCGACATCAAAGACGGTGAACCGGACCGCCGAGAGCATTCGTCAGAGAGGAGTTGATGATCGTACCTCACGACACAGTCCCTTACACATCACCCACCGAGTGATGATAGTTTCTCGTCATGATTTTTTTTATCAATCTTGCATGCCTATTTTTCTGCTTAATGTAGCCAGCCTGCCAGCCACCCGTACACCAAGCCGAGAGAGACACACGCACACGCACTGCGACTCGTCCGCCCACAGCGCTCGGAGGAGCAGCCACCCCCGAGGCGACCCGAGCCTTTATCCCGACCGACCCCATGCTCACTTAGAAGTCAATATTTCAGAAACTATTCAACCGATTTTCATCAAATTTTGCATACACCTTAGTAGTAGTATACACAATGGGGCTATGGGATTAGGGACTTCCCAAGGGCTCAATTTTTAGCCCCATTGTGTCTACTACTTCCGATATGTCGTGATATATCCCGACAGAGACATAAGCTGTCTGTCAGGATACAATCATGTACTGCCAAGCGATAATGGCATTTAAGGGATACTAAGGTCGGGTATAAACAGTCAGACCAACCTTCTTGGATTGAAGAGTGTCTATATGGTTCACTAAGCACCTATGTGCTATGTACAACTACCTTGCCGTTAAGAACTGTGGTTAGAGTTGATCTTCAGTAACCCATGCTTGTCGTAAGTCGCGACTGACCGGATCGGGTGGTCAAGCTCGCTGACAGGGTTGACACATGTCATCGTATCCCAATTGCGTAGATCGATGCTCATGCTGTTGAACCCTGGATTGTCTGGCCCAGACTCGATTATTTACAGACCGCCACCATATAGCTGGAATATTTCTGAGTGCGGCGTAAAACTAAACTCACTCATTCATCCACTCACTAAGAACTGTATTGGCTGTTCACAGGATGGTGTCAGTTTGATACGATTCGTCTGTGGTAATATGTAGACCTAGTCCAAAGCTGCGCTCCCAGCTGATGGTCCACTGCACAAATAATGTTCCCTGACTGACTGACTGACTGAGTTTGGTTTTACGCCGCTTTTAGCAATATTCCAGCAACATCACGACGGCGGACACCAGAAATGGGCTTCACACATTGTACCCATGTGGGGACTCGAACCCGGGTTTTCGGCGTGACGAGCCAACGCTTTAACCACTAGGCTACCCCACCGCCCCAATAATGTTCCCGGCATATACGGTAGCAGCAGCCATGACGAAAAATCAAATCCCGTTTTCGGGTGATAGCACAACAAATAAGCATATCTCGTGTTTGAACGTATATTGGCGTTCAGCGTGACTGAGAGGCGCTCAGTGCACAACACTTGCACTATACATACACTGGGATCAATTTTCTGCCGTCCTCGGGGACGTTGCCAGGGGCGACCTGCGCCATCACTCCGTACTGAGTTACAGGATGGCAGAAATAACTTGGGATGACTACATTACGGATCACTCTGTATGTAATATACGAGGATTCCGGGACGTTGTGGTGAGCACTTCTATAATATATGTAATGGAAGTGTGTATATACATATAGTTATACTCGTTATCGAGGTTCCTTCATGATACACACACGACTGCATTCCTGTTGCTGTTTAGGTCCAAGTGCACTCCAGCAAGTTCAGACGCTGTCAGTATGTAACCATGGTAATCATCAATAGTAAGACTGATATACACCATGACGCCCGTCAAGTCTCAGGATACGTCTTCAGCAACCCATGCCTGTCGTAAGAGAACATTGTCTGGATTAACGCTTGGTTAATAGATGTCGTATCCCAATGAAAACTTATGCATAGTGTCAATCACTGGATTGTCTGGTCTCGAGATCGTTTCGGTCAGTTACAGACCGCCGTCATAGGTATTGACTATTGAATATTGGTAAGTGCGGCGCTAAACAGACAAACACGACCATTAATTGTGCCTGTATGGAAAGCAGTGTTTGGTGAATCACGATAACTAGGACTGCCTGTCTGCCGAGGCTTGTCCCAAGTCAGACAACGAAAGATGGAAACAAGTACTTGTCATTCACTACAACATCACTACACAAGTAACAAGTACCTGAAGACATGCATGGCCACACACTGGTACCTACTACCTCAGGCCGACACAGAAACAATACCGGTTGTACCAGTTATCGGGCGGAATAGGTCCGTTACGCTCTATTGTTTGTTGTAGGGGGAGATAAGGTAGTCCGGTCGGGTGACTTGGTGATGATCGAACCCGACAGAGTGTCGCAATGCTCATTGTATCAACCACTCGTCGCCATGATGGAGCTCAAATATTCAAGCTCGGCGTAAAAAGCTATTAGTGTTATATCAAATTCGATTAATTAATACCATGCGAATTAATTATTCGTTTGAATGATTCTTTTTATTGTGACAATAACGCAGGTTAGAGGGTATAGGCATTCTCTGTCCGGATAAGGAAATTATTAATTATTTCCTAATATACTGCTTTTCGTAAATATCTCCCTGTAGCGAGGTTTCCTGATATCAAGGGTTCGGATACACAGTGAATTACTCTTTGAACATCCCCATCGTGAATTAAGCAGCTTCATTATCTAGTGCACACCCTGGAAAAAGACAAATGTCCCTGCAATACCAATATATGTCCGTTGTTATAACCCATATGATGAAACATAACCAGTGTCATATATTATATCACATGTGCATACATCATTTTTGCCTTTCAACCATATTTTCTGTATTTCGTCGTCTGTGACGTCATTAAACAATTGAACGTGACGTCAATAAAAAGGGCAATCTCACTTGCTTTCCGTGTTTTATTGCACAAATGTGCATGAATTAAAGGGATAATAAAGAAATTATTATACTCGAGCAAGTGCGTCATATGACTGATACGAAACTCGTGCAAAATTATGTATTTATCACCGAAGTCGTCAAATTGAGAAACTTTCACTCTCGTTCTGGCAATACAAATTTTCACACTCGTTTCGTTTAATTCGTATGACACACATGCTCGTGTAATAATCTCTATTTGTGTCTTGTGTTGCCGCAACAGACCACTGACCATAGGGGTAGCCGAGTGGTTAAAGCGTTCGCCGAAAACCCGGGTTCGATTCTCCACATGCATGGGTACAATGTGTGAAGCCTATTTTTGGTGTCCCCCGCCATGATATTGCTGGAATGTTGCTAAAAGCGACGTAAAACAATACTCACTCACTGGCCACAGTACTGCTTCCTCATGCTATTCATCTAGTGTTGGATAGGAGTCCTGCATTCAGGTCAATGTCACACAAATGAAGGAGTGGATTTATGTCGCCTTCAGGACTAGCTACCACACTTACCTAGTGACGCACTTAAAGCCAATACTTTAATATCATATTATCAAATTATTCGTTTATGCGAAATGTGTATATTTCGTAGTGATTGATAAGCTAAATAGTGGGTGATGACAAGTTGTTAGGTATCAACGATTTTACATGAACGCCGGGGCTTCTGTAATGTAGGTTTTACGGGGAAATTAATCATACACGTCTAACACTCGTTCTCTGTGACTTGGGACAATGATAAAACTTTAAAATAGTTTTTATTTGTTTCATTGCATGAGGAACTTAAACATCAACTAATTTGTTCAGCTGCGCCCTGTGTTTGAAGTACACACTTCTCATTTCCTTACTGACTAACGTTCACGGATGACAGAGGTATTGCGTACAAATTGTGTAAGAGACCAATTTGCGTCACAACGAATCATAGCATTATTATTCGGTGGTGGCAAGGAGTTACTTCCCCTTACCTTCGATTGTTTAGCATAACATTTCGTCCATCGCCAGCCTCGGCAGAAAGACAGCCATGGCGAAGTGGATAACATTGTGCTTTCTCGTAATCTGCGTGGCAGTTATCTTCTTAACCTTTGGTAAGATATAAAATATCTAAGTAGTTTCACCTAACAGGCTTTGATACAAAAATATACCTTCGTGAAATCACAAGAGATGTGTTTTGGTGGGTGTTTGCCAACTCTCGCAATCTCCGCCTACAGTTGTTTCTGATGCTCGGCTGGATTTGTAGGTCGTTTGTTTGTTTATGTTGACATCAGAATCCGTGTGAATGATGGGGCAGACAAGGGTACCCAGCGTTCATTTTACCAGGAATTCAACCCGGTGCCACCGCTAAACCTGGCCGGGCACCTGTTCCTGGTATTGGCCGATATCTTTGGACTGTGCCTAGATGATACTAGATCAACATGTTGTCGTATCCAAGCTAGTATCAACAGCATTTGCCAGCCAGGTTTTACAGAACCCCTGAAAGTGCCAAATATGTTACCGACTATTTATCATTAAAATGGAAATTTAAGTAAAAAAAATATGTAACTGGTCTGCAGGTCATTTCTAAAAAGTAGCTTATGTCATGTGTGTCCCAAACCAAATTTGATGATAAAACAACTGTTTGCCCATATCACGGGGACCAGAGTCTGTGACTGCACGCTGGCTCTGTGAGAGAGCCAGTACACCAGCCCTCACACGTACACCACACCCAGATCAATCAGGTTTGTATTGTCGCACATGTAAATCTCTACAAGGTATTCGATGCAACACTACACATGTTGTGTAATGTTTAGACAGTAAATGTCAAGCACAGGTGGGACTGTCCATCCTCGATAGTGGGACCCTCCATATATACAGGGTCCATATGACTCGTGTCACTTTGGCCGACACACACCTGATATTGGGGAAATGGTTCAAACTCACTCACAATGTAATAATTGGGCTGGACATGTTTCAACAGTCCAAGGTATCTTTGTATATCTATTACAGGGAATAGTTAGACACCGCTTGGTCTGAGGAAGAATAAGACAAGGATATATTTGTATTTAATTTTGTTAAAAGAGGAACCCTGTTTATGTTTTATACAGTACAAACTCACGGAACCTCTCAAGGTCAACAGATGAGTGTACTAGTGGGTGTAGTTGGAGATAGACTGAACAGTGTGGATTCAGGTCACGTGAACTGTACATACACTGGGAGTGTTCCTTTTAACACAGGACATGCTTGAGTGGGCCTGTTGACTGAGCACAGTTATTGACGACATGTACAGTTCCCTTTCATTAAGGAAGGAGTGTTGAAGAATAGCGTCATGTCACTATAATGTTAAGTTTACATGATGACGTTAAGTGCACCAGACGGAGGATCTGGTGACATATGCACATTCAACATTTATTCCATATGTCAGGGCTCTTTGCCAGAGTTATACAAGCTTATTTACATTATCACACAGCTGCACTGAGTCGATGAACACCCAAGGAAGATCTATTCTTCATATCGACCACACATGCTTACAATAGTGTTGGTTTTGTCAAATTTCTGCATGCACAATCAATTAGTGATGATGATACCTGAAGAAAAGACAGGTGTATCATGCCCCAAAGGTGGCTACTGAGACAAAACACATGCTAATGCAAGTCAGTTATTCACCTGAAACACTAACAACAGATTGACGGTATAAGTCAAAGCAGGTAACTGATTCAGACATCTTCCCTGTTACTGATTTGTTAGATTTGGAAATGTCCTCCACATGTCTAATATAAAACCTTTTGAAACCTAATCTTTGGCCTTGTAAACATGATGAACGCCATTTGAGCAAGAGTTGTATGAGTGTCTTTGAAATTTTCATGGAAGCAGCTTTCGAAAGATGTGAAATGTCAATGGCTGGAGCTGCTGGAAATATTGCTCAGTGTATAGAGAAAGCTGACTGAAGTGTCTGTCAGTGTCTGTCTTCATTCTGGTGGAAACCGTCTCCGTGGTGTAGTGGTTATGGCATCCTCCCGGAGAGCGGATGGTTGTGAGATCAACCCCCGCCGCATCATACCAAAAGATGTTAAAATATGGTACTTGTTGGTCCTGCCTGGCATTCTCGGCATTAATGGGTACAACAAGGACTGGTCAACTCAGAGTCAGTGTCTGAGAGGGGTATTCATGCTTAACTGCGGCATGGTAATTATCTCAATGAGCTAGCACTATAAAACCATCTAAAGTCTGGGCTACTACCAGCAGCCACACATGCACATCATCATATGAGCGAAATATTTTCATGTATGACATAAACCCCATTTCACCTCACCTCATTCAGGTGGATTGTTGTTACTCTGAATCTAAGTATCAAACAGTAGACTCTTGTGGATATTAAGTCAGTACTAGAGTTTATACGATCCCCGGAGAGATACAACACTTGTCTTGCAAATACCATCAAGTGTGTCAACAGGATGTTGTACTGGTCAAGAGATTGTTGTTGTGGAGGTCATGTATGAGATGTGATAAACAGAATTTATCCTTCAAAAACATTTCAATAGATGCGGACGTTTCGGTGTAGATGCTAACACCAGCAAGCAAGTTTTCATATCAATTATCATGGCAATTAGTGCCATGGATATCATAAAAATAGTTTGTAGGGCCTGGCATCAAGACCAGGAATGGGGTCACTGGTTGTGCCTAGAATCACCAGCTTACACAATGAGGATAATGGCCTGCTCTTTGTCAGCCCATTCCATGTGAAGGCCTGCTAATTAATCAACTGCTTGTGTGACATAGTGTATACTTCCAGATCCTTGAAGTCTGGGCCTGTTCCACAGTTGTTGTCAAATGTTGCAATAAGGTTACATGATAATGATGAAGGTGAAATATGGTTACGTGATAATGATGAAGGTGAAATATGGTTACATGACAATGATGATGGTGAAATATGGTTGCGTGATAATGATGATGGTGAAATATGGTTACATGACAATGATGATGGTGAAATATGGTTGCGTGATAATGATGATGGTGAAATATGGTTGCGTGATAATGATGGGTGAAATATGGTTGCGTGATAATGAAGGTGATATAAGGCTACGTGATAATGATGATGGTGAAATATGGTTGCGTGATAATGATGGGTGAAATATGGTTGTGTGATAATGATGAAGGTGAAATATGGTTACGTGATAATGATGGTGAAATATGGTTACGTGATAATGATGATGGTGAAATATGGTTGCGTGATAATGATGAAGGTGAAATATGGTTGCGTGATAATGATGATGGTGAAATATGGTTGCCGTGATAATGATGATGGTGAAATATATTTGCGTGATAATGATGAAGGTGAAATATGGTTGCGTGATAATGATGATGGTGAAATATATTTGCGTGATAATGATGAAGGTGAAATATGGTTGCGTGATAATGATGATGGTGAAATATGGTTGCGTGATAATGATGAAGGTGAAATATGGTTGCGTGATAATGATGATGGTGAAATATAGTTGTGTAATAATGATGATGGTGAAATATGGTTGCGTGATAATGATGATGGTGAAATATGGTTGCGTGATAATGATGATGGTGAAATATAGTTGTGTAATAATGATGATGGTGAAATATGGTTGCGTGATAATGATGAAGGTGAAATATGGTTGCGTGATAATGATGAAGGTGCATGCAATATGACCCCACTGGTGCGAATTGATAAACGAATGATGTCATTAGACCTTATCCCCATGTCTTGTGGCGTAGGTCAGTGTGTGGTGGTTGTGTCTTGATGCACAGCATACTGTTCTACTTGTCCAACCGTACGTGTAAGTGCCAGTAGTCTAAGTTGGCTGCTGTTCTATATAAATCAGAAAATATATGTACCTCCATCTTCAACCCTGACTTTGATGTTGAAAAATATCCAAATACATCACAAGCATATAGTTACTTCGCAGTTTTGAATTCTGTGTATAATTCCCTCCTGTGAGGTATCATCCACTCATTGTATACGGCAAAATTAATGAAAACTACATGCATCATCTGTGTTTATCTTTTGCTTTGGGACTAGGAGACCAGTCTAAATCAATTGGCACCAAGTACGTTTTAGTAAACGAAGGGGGTAACTCTGGCCTGTTTAGTTCAGAAAACAAATGCCTCATAAAGACATACCATTTCAACATTTATATGAAGTGTTCTTCTTTCAATGTGAGAAAAGTGAGTGTATTTTTTCCAACATTGATATTAACTATTTCATAAATTCTTTGTTATTTCACAGAAGAAAAAATATGATGTTTTTATGTACTCTTCCCCTTTCAAGCACTCCATAATAATGTTTAAAGAAATTATTACACTCGCAAGTGTGCCACACGACTTTTAGTTTTCACTTTCGCTTGGGCAATACAAAATTTCACACTCATTTCTTATAAGTCGTATGACACACTTGCTCGTGTAATAATCTCTATATATTACATGTATGAGGCTTCCCTAATGATTATATGAGGAAGAATTTGTGTCGTGTTTAGCAAATGCAGACAGTTTCCTACTTATACCAAACTATCCAACAATTGAATAATCAATAACCTATATCCCTTGTGTGAAGATCCCAAGCAACTTGCAATACTGGTAACTATGGCAACCTTATTTGTCCAGGATTGTTCCCTTCATTCGTCCAGGTCGGACCAGAGTCAAGCATTAATGCCACCTCTTGAATTGTTTAGCTGGAAACAATTGATTTTTATTTTATGATAATCTGTTTGTAGTGATGGCTGGAAGAGTATAGTTGTATGTACACTGCAGAGGCTGAACTAGACGTCCCCACATGTGGGTCAGTTGTAGCTGGACCAATACACCATGGCCACTGCAGTCAATAGTTAAATGTCACAACGATACACTGGGGTTTATTGGTTCTATAGGAATTCTGGAATTTCTTTTAAAGAGATTACACTTGTGTCATCTGACATTTTACTATTTTCTATTTTTAACCATCATGATGTGTTTTCAAATGTTCTACTGATGTTGAATTGGACGAAGTGTGATTGATCTGTATGTACTTAGTGCCGGAGGGAGCATTCCATTTGTCATTTGAAGTTGAATCTGCACAACGGGTGACATGTCACTGATATAATTCCAG